CCAACCATTAAAACTTCAAAAAAAAATATGGAATAGCATTTTCTTACCGTCTACAATCTCTCCACCAAAGAATTTGAGACCAAAATCTTTCCCCTTAGTAGAGCAATTTTTGGGAGGTGCCCAAGGCCTCCCCACCTTTTTTTCACGGATTGAAGTGAGTGACCTGAGGAGGAAGAAGGTGTTGCAGTTTGCTTTATATGTGGGTCATTTGTAGGGGCGGCTGGTGATTGAGCCGCCCCTACAAATCGGAGATATTTATACGCGGGCATTTGTAGGGGCGGCTCAATCACCAGCCGCCCCTACAAATAGAAATAGCGGGGGCGGCTGGTGAGTGAGCCACCCCTACAAATCCAACCCATTTGTAGGGACGGCTCGTATCACCAGCCGCCCCTGCTGTTCCATTTGTAGGGGCAGCTAGTCTCTGGGCTCCCGAGCACGCCACTGTAGAGGCGGCTCAATCACCAGCCGCCTCTACAAAAAATTTATCCCATTGCTATAAACCGTTTTTTACGTAGTGGCGGCGCTTATATTGGACCGATTCTTGTATGGCGCAGACGGATCCTACGCGGACTACGCGCGACGCCGCGGACCAGACGGGCTCTACGCGAACTCCTTTAGGCGCGTCACGCGGGGGAGGGAAGAGGCAATGGCGCGTGGTGTTGTCAAATTCAAGTACGCGCAGATGAGGGTGCATGCGTCGCCGTCGATGGGCGAGACAACGTGAAGGCGCCGGGCCGCCGCTTCCCATCAATTGTCCTTGGTAGGATTGGATGCCCGTACGCCGTTGCGTGCTTGATACCCCCCTTGGGCGCTGCCTCATCCTTCTCGATGCTACGTAAGCCGCGATTTCCCCAGAACGCGAGAAGCCGAAGGATCGTAGGGGAAAAAGGAAAAGAAAGACGAACAAGAAAAACTCATGGAGGCATGCACGGCCGGGTGGCACTGTTCCGTATCGGTTTTGATCTTCCATATCGTAGACGTGGGTGGACCCGCATAGACAAGCTAGGTATCGGGTGCGCGCACCAAGTCCTGTTGGACTAAACCCTTCGACGTTTTTTAAGTAGTAATAACAGATGTTTCAAAATCAAGACAAGTTGGAATTTTGGATTCAAATTTCAAAGATCATTCCATAAAATTTAACTTTTAAGTAGCAGGTGACTTATAATGATACGCTTTCTTGACTAATTTTTTCAAACTTTTCAGTGGACAAACCAAATGTTGTCATATCATTTTTTCCTAGTAATGTGTTTCATTGTATTTGGATTGATAATGATTCATTGATTGTAATCACAAATTATACATGAATGAACACTGGAACTAAACACACCGATCTTGGTGCTCCCTCGCACTTGTGACCACCCCCTTTCCATTTGTTTGTATTCCAAATTTCCAAGATCGGTGCAAAAGGTTTTTCTTTTAGCAAAAGGTCTTTATGTATTTGATGCATTCGTGATGTAGATCAACAAGCTCGTGTATATGGATGGCAACGGGGATGTACCCATCGGGTATCGCCGGAACGTTCTCTTCCCCGCTACGGAGAATTCATTCCGTCCCCGTCCCCGTTAACTGTCTCGGGTATAGATTCTTGCCCATCCCCGTACCCGTCGGGCATCGGTCGATATATGAGATACCCGGAGTAGTCTTGCGACTCGATAAACAAGGACACTTGGGGTCGTGACTTTGCAATCGGAGACGTTTCTTCTTCACCCGGGTATAAGTGTCGGAGTCTCGGAGATCCGAGGAGAAGGAGCGAGGGTTGAGAAGGACGAGCAAAGGTGGCGAGAGAGACCGAAGCCCGAGAAGCGAGGGCATGAGCGCTCGTGAGGCAAAGGCGTGCGTGCTTGTCTTCTTGGCGAAGATGGTGAGGAAAATTTGAACTAGAGTTCCTAGAACACACAAACTATATATATATATGATTTCAGATTTGGGCCAAAATAACTATGTTGAGCTTCTTTGGGCCTAATACTACGCGCATGACACTCAAATAGTCGGGTTCCCCAGCAGATATGACGGGGACGGGTAAACAGGGAACGTTCCCGTACCCGCTATACCCGTCGGGGATGGATTCTTACCCATTTAGATGCCCGCGGGTAAAGATATGATCCCATCCCTATCCCCTAATAGATCAAATACCCGTCAGGTATTAGGTATCGGGTATCGGGGGTCCATTGCCATCTTTCAGCTTGTTCGGTTGGCTGGTTCGTTTCGTTGCTGGTTCGTAAAGAAGTACTGCTGGCTGATTTGTGTGAGAGAAAAATACCGTTCCGACTGAAAATTTACGATCGTTTATGATAAGCCACAGCCAAACGAACAGGCTATTTACCCGTGTAGCGCCAGAGCGGCGGCACCCGGAGCCCGCGGTCTAGATCGGTGCACGGTGGCAGAGAGAGGTATCTTTCGGTACTTGGCTAGAGATAAGGGCGGGCGAGACGACACTGACTGGCAGCTAGCAGGGCATTGGTTCCGTTCCGTTCCGTGCGTGTCCTCCGTTGCCTGATGTCGTTGGAAGTAACGACCCAACCCTTTATTTTGTTGTTGTTTGTTTTGAAACAAGAATTACTAGCATGCACCGTTTATCGTTTGATTGAAAGGCATTGATTCGTCCTCCTCTCAAAGGATACGTACGTACAAGATGCATCAACACTGGACATCGTGGTACGCGTGCCAGCTTCGTCTCCGATCCCATCCTTCTCTTCTCGGTGTACAAAACACTGAGATCCATCTCCAATCCATGGTGATGAGGAATCGCATCACATCCGATATCCTGGAATTTTGCATCTCTCGGTGACGCCTACGAAGATCTCTGTCTCCCTCTCATGTTTCCGGCCGCCGCCGCCGCCGCCTCCGGGCTCCGGCACGCCGTACGAGCTTTTGCTACGACGTGTCACGCTGCAGGCCTGCAGCCACGGCCCACGGTGGCGGAGGCCGGCTTCCGACCAGGTTCCATTGGCGCAGGGGCCTGTCGCGCGCTGGTTGGCCCGTGTCACACCCTGCAGTAGCGGCGGCCTCCGGTCACCGGAGATGGCTGAACAGCGACGGCGCCCGGCGGATTAGAGAGGTCACCTGGGCAGGGTTGGGTTCTGTTCGGCAAGACATCGATGGATCGCGACGCCGGGTCATTCAATTCTATTCTACCTGGCTGTCAATCTCCCGCGCTTTCTGTGGCCGGCCTGTTTAGTGTTTACGTACGAATCCCAGGCCCTACTACTTTCAAACTCTAAATATGTTTTTTTTTCCTTCCTATATATACTTCTCTAACTTTGTGGTTTGTCCTCTTTCAATTTTTTAAACTGAAGATTTTGTTTATCCCAAAATCACCTATAACGGTTTTAAGAGAACACGCACCTGTATATTTTTAACATTTTTTATGATAACTTTTGATTTACCCTTGTTGTCATTTCAATGTATATACTCTGAACACAAAACTTAAATGCATTTTATATGTTTCGAATCTTATTGAGTTTTCACGATTTTTTATAGGGAAAAGTTGTTTATGCCTCTAGAAAAATAAATGTGATTACAATAGTGCTAGACGACTTATATTTCGTTTCAGCTAGCCTCCTCAATTTAACTTGAGTTGCTGATGCTAGAGGTGATCGGTAGTCAATATTTTACATGTGTTTCTCTTGAGTGCTAGTTACAATTATTGTAGAGCAACGAGTTGTCACAATAAAAATTACAAAAAGAAAGTCAGATGTTATTATTTTAATCCTTGAATAACATGGTTACCTATTATGCATCATGATTTGTTGCCATAAAGACGTGTAAAAATAAATCTACAATATAAAATAAACACAATCCATAATGCGAAACTTTTGAAAAAAATGTTTTTCCTATTTTTTAAAAAGATTTATTTAATATGGCTCCACGAACAATGACAGAATTCTAGGTTAGTCCAACCTTTATATTCACTCTAAAATACAATAGAAAATTTAGAAATGCAGAAAAGAAGGGGTAACTCACAATTTTAGTTGGAAAAGTATGTGTGAGAATGCAATTACTCCATTAAAAATGATAATTCAAAATCTTGGCTATTTGCGAGCATGCATATGCACAGTAGCGATCATTCACACTTTTGCTCCAAATATCAAAAGAAGACAGTAATAAGATTCGATGCTACGTGTGTAGGCTCTATGGAGATGAGCATGTATAAAAATCAGGTGTTTTGTCACATTTCATACTGCTGTCTTTTCATTATTAGCAAAAAAAAAAAAACTAATTATTCTGTATCTGCAAAGAGATGTGAACACACACACCCTTAAATCTAGCCACCTCACATTGGGTCCAGGCTAGATATGCAAGAAAGCAAGGCATGACTTCGTACCTCCATGTAAACCATATACCCCACACCAAAGTTTATTCTTCAACTATACTGCTATATATGTACTCGTTGTGTTCCCCTATGTCCTTAGCAGACTCTCTCGTTTCCATAACTTTTCATTGCTTTTCTCGTCTAGTATATCATTGATAGGAGGTACTAGCCCATTCCACTGATTTGATACAACGTTAAGTGAAGATGATGTCCCGGATGGGTTGGGTCAAGACACCTTTCTCTGAATTATGCAGTGTAACTTCCTTCAACTTCTCTATTACATTTGGTTTGTTCATTTTAATTTGGTGGCCACTAAAATATTAGACTAATTTGTTTTCTTATTAAAACTAATCGGATACCAGTTGTTTGTTTGTATGTTTGTATAGTGTTTGTAGTTGACCAAGGTACATATCATGTTTTTTTGTTTAAAAGGGATTTAATTCTTTTATACTAGTAAAGTACTATGAAGATGACAATCTTGTTTGATTATACGAGTCGCCAGCAACGTTGTTTCTCGTCCTAAAAGACCGCATACAATTTTTCTAACTTCTGTGTGTCCCTTCGTAATTCTATCATCTCTCTGTACCAATGAATGCTAGATTCACACTATGTGCATTTTGGATTGAATCATCATCCAATCCCAAAAGACTTATTAAAGAACTGGATTAGTGCAAGAAGAAACTGAGAGATGGCTTTCTCCTACGGTTTGCTGCATAATCACGTACTACACATCTTGCATACTTTCTATGACGTCCGGCATCTAGTTCTTCAGAAGCATCTGCCAAAACGGATGGTTGGCTTGATATGTCACCAACCTAGGGGTTGTTGATGCTCATGCTAAAGCAAGAATGTCTTTCGCTTTCCTATTCCTAGCTACTTAGGTCTTTGTGCATTATGCCCTGTTAAGCTTATGATGATAAGCCATGACTGAAAGTACTGTTGGCTGATTTGTTGTGAGAGAAAAATATTATTCGTTGGTTGAAAAAGTACGGCTTATAAGCCAAGCGAACAGGACGTTAAGAGCATAGAAATGTTTTGCAAAATTATATGACTACTTTTTAAAGGAGTCATACATGTTTTTATCAAAGTAATGTATATGTGAATTTTCACGATTTGAAGGTGGGCTCTCTAAATATCAGTGTCAATGAAAAGAATTTAAATTTGTGACAATCATAGTCCAGAGGTTATGTACAACTAAACTAAGTATATATTTTTTCAATGATCACAGGCAATACAAAATTCTCCCTTTTATTACTACTTAAAAGGAAAAGGGACTTAAAATGACGTCTCGGTCAAAAAGCGAGCTAGGAGTAAGGGTAACTAATCTTGAGAGACACGAGGAGGCGGTTAAGTAGTTGCTCATGAGCTAAATTACAACACATAGCATGCACAAAAATAGCTATTTTGCCCATCTATGTTTTAGCTAAAACATCACACGAATTAAGATTTTAACAATAGTATGACATGTCTGTAAACCCCTCTCCTAAATAAGCAACTAGTGTTGTTTGCTTGTTGAATCCAAAGTTCTTGCCGGCTCTTATGGGCTATATATAGCCTATAAACTTTCTGTTGCTTCGTCTTTCAGCATTATAAATAGAAGCTATTGCCATTTGCATGATCTACGAGTTTTCTGTATCCTGTCTTCAACCCCCTCCTATTTGATCATACCCTCCTTCAACAACAGCGGAAGGGACAAGCGGAATTCTCCTTGTTACCCGCACCGGAGTTCGTGATCCACCATGCTCGACGACCATCCCTTCACTGTAAATCTCTGCACTAACATTAGGCTAATGTGTTCCCTGGAATTGTTTGAGAGTTCCCAGCCTTTGCGGAGGACCTTTGTTCGACGGTTTCTTGATTGTTGCATACCGTTTTCCCCACTTGTTGCCCATGCTTTTTCTTGATCAGGATTCCTTTATTGGATTGCATGCATGCTTTGATCTTGCTAGACCATGGTGTATGTGCTGCAATAATTGTTTGGTGCCTATCCTAGAAAAGCAAAAAAAGACACAAGATCAAGAAGACATCTTTCAGCTTTTGGACCCCTGCGGTACCAAGAGAATATATTCCTCGACTTGATTGTTTTCGCTTGTTGGTCTCGATGGACTTTATATCCATTTCGCTGGGAATTTTGATTGTTGGGGCTGTTTCTCCCCCTAAATTCTCTAATCCTAACAGTGACATTCGCCAGCATACATACCGTGTACTGTTTTGCCATGCTTAGAGAGAGATGGCAAATAGAACATTACTGTTGCAAAAACAACTGTACGGCATTTGATTCCCTAAAAAGAGAGACTATAAAAGAATCCCTGAAATATTTTCACACAATGGTTATCAGGTAGCAGTTTTCATTTTAAGATCGGCGCAAATCTTGTGTGAGTTCTAAAAAAAGGGTTCTCAGTTAGGCAGTTTTTAGAACTATATGATGATTCAAATTTTCACCCTGCAGGTTTGCATTTTGCAATACACAGTTATTTGTATTGATCAAACATAAGCTTGTTCTGAAACGGATGTTGCTGACAAGTTGGTTTGCTTCTAAATTTTAGCAGGATGGCATCTCGAGCCCCATAGCGGCGCACATCCTAGACTTCTGCGACGATGGCAGCGGCGGCGACCTATTCGCGGCCGTGAACACGGCCTCGGACATGTTCACGGCGTCATCAGAGGATGCCTCGTCGTCGTCCGTAACGACGCCTCCCGCGCCCTGCGGCCACGGCGACAACGTGTCGTTGGGCGCCGCCGCGGCCACAGGCGCTGCCTCGGCCTTTCCCCGTTGCCGTCCCTGGACTCCACCCTCTCGGCTCTCCTCGAAGAAGAAGATCCACCGGTTCCAGACACCGAACTCCTCCTCCCCATCGACTACCAGTTCGCGGTGGCGGCGGCGGGAGATGAGCCTCAGCCCGAGCAGCAGTTCGCTCAGGTACCGGTGGTGCTTCCAGTGGCCGGCGCGGCAGAACACCCGGGTCTGCAGACGCAGATGAGCAGCACGGCGTCCGAGCTGCTGCACGTAGCGTCGTCAGGGTACACCGACGAGTGCTTCGCGGCAGCAATGGCGGCCAGAGGAGGGTACGTGGGCCTGGACGAGGCCCTGTGCCAGCAGCAGCCGCCGCAGCCCGGCGCGTTGCTCCCTGCCAGCATGATGGAAACCGCCGCGCAGGGCTGCTACTTCGGCAAGGACACGGTGGCGAAAGCAGGCGGCGGCTTCTTCGGGACCGGTTGCAGCGGCATGATGATGTCCATGATGGGGATGGAGGAGATCGGCGAGTACCAGCGGATGATGGAGAGCGCCAGCGCCGCGCTGGCCGCCACGCACAGCCCCGACGCGGACTCCGCCGCCGCGCCGCCGCGGCGCAGCAGATGGCGTTCGGCGGCAACGCCGCCGGGGAAATGCAGGTAGAGTTGAGCGCCAGATCGAACGCACGGCATGGCATGATGAACCCAACCATGACGCGCATGCATGACACGTTTGCTGGTGGTGCACGCCAGATGGGCGGCGGCAGCATGAGCCCGGGGCGGCTGCCAGCGGCGGCGACGGAGGCGTCGAGCCTGGAGGACGCCAACTTCAAGAGCGCCCGCATCACCGTGGAGGAGAGACGAGAGAAGATCCACAGGTACATCAAGAAGCGGAACGAGCGCAACTTCAGCAAGAAGATCAAGGTGACGCCATGCTCCTCTTTGAGCGATCCAAAATTCAACTGCGGGCATGCATGCTGCTGACGCCATTGCAACCCCCAACAATTGCAGTACGCTTGCAGAAAGACCCTGGCGGACAGCAGGGCCCCGCGTCCGCGGCAGATTCGCCAAGAACGACGACTACGGCGAGCCGTCGAGGGTGATGCAGAACCACGAGGAATACGACCACATGGTAAGTGCTCCAACGTGAAACACAATTTTCGAGCAAAATTTACAAATCTGCGTGTATGAAGTGAAAGCTACGAGTACTTATTGAAAGTAAAAATATATGTCTTTAAATGCGTCAATTGATAATTTCACAGAACATTGCGTTTTTTGAAAAAAAAAAAAATTCAGGCCGGCATGAAGGCAGAAGACATACTGGATCCCGACGCCCTGCAGGCGCACATCAACAGGATGAACTCCTACATGTACAACCACACTGTTGAGTCCTGGATGTAACGCAAACGCATCCAGAGGACGATGGCTAAACTTTCCGGTTTCGGTTTTCTAATTTTGTGCAGATTTCAAAGGGAGCCTTACTTTTGGTTATTTGGTCCCACGGAATAACTGATCCTGTATAGGTTATATAAATTGCCCAGATTGAGTGTAAGTAGTCTTGTTATTGTATGCGAATCTGATTTTACCAACTTACGATAGAACCTCGGGTATAGTTGAGAGTTTTGAAGAAAATAACGCTTGAATATAGAGATTTGTACTTGCCTTCTTATCTTAATAGAAACAAACCTTTCTGGGATCATACATGTTGCATTTTCATTTTCAGCTCCATCGTTCTCGCATTTCCCATTCAAAATAAGAGCATCTCCAATAATGTCTAAAATTTGAGTCCAAAAGATTTGGTTTTGAAACATTTCTAAAAAAAAAAAAAATTATTGGGTATACAAGAAATACGCTCCACCAACAGTTTCTTTTTATTGTTCCTAAAAATCATACACACCATCGTCTTCCATAGATACCGAGTCTCTGACCATGGATGGAATGATTCGCTGTCATGGTCATGGTCAGGTCATCTCGGTGCCCTAGCTCACACACAGGAACCTTCAAAACAGAATCCTCTTAGTATCTCCAGATCTAAAAATAGTGGTCGGAATTCTAATTTCAGCCAACTTCCTAGACGGCGGCAGAGCCATGAGCCCATGACTAGCACACCTGGGGCCCAGAGCCTCCAAAACGAAAATCGACAGCAACAACATGGAACACTGACCAAACACATCAAGTGAGCGCCTGTCACCGCCCGCGCCCCAACCATCTCTAAAGCGCTTACATTTTGTTTTCCACGGTGGCAAAGAAACCGAGAAAACTGCCTCCAAGCGCCTTCCATACCCTCGCGTTTTACGTGACTACGTGGCCTAGCTAGGGGCGCCAACACACCAACCTGTTGAGGTGCTCTTACTGATTAACAACAAATTCATAGGAAATTATGGGGCAGCGCGCAGGCTGAATCCTGAAATGGCCATACAAAAGCACAAATCGGAGTGACAGAAAACAAGATCATAGCGCCAGGGCATCACTGAACTGACTACATAAGTGCACAGTTCTGCCTCTTAATTGTGCGCCTTTTCCTTGAAGTACATTACTCAAGTACATTACCACAGATGCTCACTCAAGTACATTATCACAGATGTTGAGGTACCGAGAACAACAGGTTAAAATGGACCTAACAAGGAGCACAAGGAACTAACTCAAACATCCCCGACCATGATATCAGACAATGGCGTTTGCTGCACTAGCAATCCTAGGCCAAAGGTCAGCACACTCCTTGCCAATAGGTCCAGTGATAGCAGATCCTGCAAAAGGAGCAACGTGTTCAGCAATGCTGCACTGCACTGCACCTCCAGGAGAACAGGACTGTGCAATTGAATGAGAAGTACGCCACGCTCTTACCTTTCATCTCACCCTTGGGGTTCACGATGACTCCAGCATTATCTGCAAATGCAGTACCACCATATGAGATAGCAGCTAAATAAAAATTAAAGCGATACACTAACAGCACCACTAGAATCCACATCCAATAAAGAACACACTTCCAGCAACTATATGAGATATGAGATTGTTCGGTTTCATATATTACATTAAGGTAATCCAGAAATACATATGCACACTAGAAAATGATATAACAAACTAGACATATAAAGAACACATATTCACATTTACACAAAAAATCCTTCTGCATCACCCACAAATGGCAGGTTATGCGAAGCTAATTAAAACATACTACATGGAAAAGTAACAGCAAAAACCCACAAATGACATTTTGAATAAACTAGTAATTAGTAGACATGATAAAGCATAAGAAAACTGTCTCATGGCTAGACCCAAGGTTTCGTGGCAGCAACATTGCTATCTAGGGCAATGGAATATTAGACTACTTTGGATGGAGAAAAAAAAATATTATTGAGTGTTGTAGAACACGTAGTACTAAAAGCAAGCAGAAAAATATGAATAGAACAAGTAATGAAAGGCCCTACTAGCCAAAAGAAAACAAAGATCAAGAATTAGGTGCCTACTATGAGTTAACAGAAATGAATGGAAAAGCAACCGAGTACAAACATATAGGTGAGGCTACACAGCAGATTGAATAGCAACATGTGAGAACTTCCTTGAAGTCACAAAAGATGGTTATCACATTATATTAAGGCCATCATGAAACACCTATAAAACTATGGAAAAGGATATAACAAAGATGAAGCGTTGTAGACATCTATATAGAGCAAACAATCACATTGACAACATCTTTCAGACATACATGATCATGTAGGCGAATATGAAAAGGAAGATAATTAAAATGTCCAAATGCAGAAACAATGCAATGCCCACACTTATGGCTTAGGTAAGAAACTAAGAATGTGATTATACATTGTAGGCATCGTATACAAATGAAATATAAGAAATATACATCTCATGGCCAGTCCCAAAGTTTCATGGCAGCAATGCCACTGCCTAGGGCGATGGAATATGAGACTGCTTCCAGATGGAGAAATTCTTCCAAAGGAGAAAGCGTCAACAACAAAGAAGATTCTTTTATGATGTTTGCTTAGGGACATGCAAACATTGCAAGTTTGCCCCATATAAAGCCAAAGAACCTTGTGGTCTTTCTATCACTGAGTACAACAACAACAACAACAACAACAACAAAGCCTTTAAGTCCCAAACAAGTTGGGGTAGGCTAGAGTTGAAACCCAACAGAAACAATCAAGGTTCAGGCACGTGAATAGCTGTCTTCCAAGCATTCCTATCTAAGGCTAAGTCTTTGGGTATATTCCATCCTTTCAAGTCTCCTTTTATTGCCTCTACCCAAGTCAACTTCGGTCTTCCTCTGCCTCTCTTCCTCTGCCTCTCTTCACGTTTCTATCACTGAGTACCTCTAAGAAAATTATATACTATGGAAACCAAAAACAAATGAAGAAAACAAGCAATTAAGTGCTTGCTTTTCACCAACAGAAAAATGATGCATACATTACAACAAGCCAAAAAAGGAAAAAGAACAAAATTGGATGGAAGAAGCTATTTTGTAGATAGCATACTTATGAACATAGACAAACCAAGTCGTAATATGTGATTGGAGGGAATTGTTATCCAATGAATCAAGCATCATCTAATGGAAAATATAATATAAGAAATATATGTCTCATGGCCAGTCCCAAAGTTTCATGGCAGCAACGCCACTACCTAGGGCAATGGAATATGAGACTGCTTTCAGAAGGAGAAATCCTAGTGAAGAAATCCTCAACACCAAAGAAGCTTCTTTTATGACGTTTGCTTAGGAATATACAAACATGGCAAGTTTGCTCCATATAAAGCTAAAGAACCTAACAGTCCTTCCGTCAGTGATTGTGTTCTAATACATATACTATAAACCAAAAAATTAAAAAAACAAACAATGAAGTGCCTGCAACTAAATGACATGAAAACAAAGAGATCAAGAATTAGATGCCTACTAGAAGCTAAAAAAAGAAAATGAATGGAATAAGCGGCGGAGTAAACATATAGGTAAGGTTACATAGCAAACTGAAATAAGGAAACACATTTGGTTATACGAAACTATTTTGTAGATATGATGTTTGCGAGAGAAAAAAAAGATGAACTAAATTATTCAGATTGGCAAGATAATTGTGAACAGCTAGTAAAAGAGAAAAAAAACATAAAGTTCCCTTTTTTAAGTTTGGAATCACCTATACTTAGATATTTTAAGAGTAAAATCCTTATCAAGCTAGCTTGAAAGACTAGTATTGGCGAATCATGGGCGAATCCACCAACCAACTGAATTTCACTACTGTTACTGAAGGAAAACTAGGATAGAAGATGAGGTTTGCAGGAATACGTTCTAATATACAGGATTAAGGCTGAGATTCAAATACATGGCAGCAAAGGCAATACGCTACAAGCAACAGCAACATTACAACAGCGAGGTGACACACCAGACGCGAAGCATCAAGAAAGACATCAGAACGGATCGGGTCGGGCACGTCGAGCTCGAGCGTTGTAGGACTAGGAAACGCGGTGAGAGTTACCTTCGAAGTACATGTAGACTCCGTCCTTGCGGCGCCACGGCTTGCGCTGGCGGACGATGACGGCGGGCATGACCTTCTTCCTGAGGTCGGGCTTACCCTTCTTGACGGTGGCCATGACCATGTCGCCGACGCAGGCGGACGGCAGGCGGTTGAGCCTACCCTTGATGCCCTTGACGGAGATGATGTACAGGTTCTTGGCGCCCGTGTTGTCCGCGCAGTTCACAGTCGCTGCCACGGGGAGACCCAGCGACATGCGGAACTTGTTCCCCGCAGTCCCTCCCCCTCCCTGCGTCAGTTCATCCATTTCGACACAGAAGCCAGCTGAGTTACCAAGTAAGCGAGAGGGGAAACAGACGAACGAGTCGGATCGTCGGGAGAGAATGGAGGACCGGGGCGAACGTACCGCGCTTCGACATGGCGACGGCGGCGGCGCGAGGAGAAGAGGTCGGCTAGGGTTTGCGCTGGTCGATGCCTTATAGGAAGAGAGAAGTGTGGTAGTTGGGCCTGGACTTTGGAAAGCGGGCCGTGAAAGAGACAATATGAGGCCCATCATGTTAATTTACGTGCTAATGAGACATTTGTATTTTTTATTTACTATTTTCTAGCTTGCTTGCCGTTACCATCTAACCTTAGTATTTCTATGTTTATTTGAAACCAACATTTTTTGATACTTGTATCTGTAAATTTTGTTGCATATAAATTCATTTATTTTTTTATTTTTCATTTCAATATATGGGATTTTTTTGTGAAGCATTTGTATTTGTATCCAATTTATTTTTGTCTTGATGAATTCTTTTTCTTTTTTTACTTTCATAATTTTAAATCCCTCGTTATTTTTTATAGTGTACGTATGTTGCGGCATTAGAGTTGAATACCATATCGTTCAGGTAACTTATCATTAGACACACCATTCGTGTTTTTTTTCTTTAATGTTTTTTTCGAGTTCTAATGTCCTAGCTGTTAGTGTACATTTTTTCAGTAGAAGCCGTTAGGTTTTTTTTGAGCAACTTTGTACAGTATATATTCTATTTTCTAATTCTAATTGGACAAAAGCCCACAGACCCACTGGTAGCAGCGAGCAGGCTAACCTTGCCAAGGACCAAGCTTCCATAATTGCTCCTATCAGCATCCAATTTATCTACAGCGGCGCATCCCAATTCACTGTCTTCCCCATTTCTCTCCAGCTCCTCTCCGTACTCCGCCCCAGCTCCAATCCTCCAACCCGCCATGGTTCCTTGCCGTAGATGTCAGGGAAGAATGCGAGCCGTGCAGAGCACTGCCTTCGGGGCTGGCCGCGCGGGGAAGTTGTGCCAGGCAGAGCAACTTCGCAGGGGCTTGCCGCTGGAGCTGGTAGATCCGCTCGCCCGACGCCGGGGCAGGGCTGCGCCGGGTCTAGCCGCGATGCCTTCTGGCCGCCGGGGCAGGGCCGTGCCACCGGGCAGGTTGCCATCGCTGGTCGCGCCATCCGGAGGCCGCCAGGGCAGGCCCTCCTTCTTGGCTGCGAGGCGACAAGGGCGCCTTCGGCTCCTAGGCCCTGTTCGCTTGTCTTCTAATTGGGACTTTTCAGCTCAATATTTTTCTCTCTCACGGCAAATAAGTCGGAACTGTGTTTCGGTTTATTTTTTTACGAAGCGAACGGGGTCCTACTCGGCGAGTCCAGTGGTGGCTCCAGCAGCTCGCGTCTCCTTACCGTGCTCTATTTCGTGGTAAGTTCAGTCGCTCAGACTCATTGGCTGTCGTAATCTTCCTCATCATCATCTACAGCGGGACCAGGGATGGGGAAAGATTTAGTATCTCACACTCACAGTTGGCATACTGCATTATACTTTCCTTTGTTACTTAGATGATTAGCATCCAAACTCTAGTATTTATATATTTTTAGTTATCATTTGCATCGTTCTTCAAAGTTGAAAATTGTAGTCCACCACCAATATGTTGTAGGTATTCCTTTTTAGTGCTTGCAAAATACTTTTGTAGTGCCGTTGAATAAAAATACTACTGTAGTTATCTGAGTTTAGATGACACAATAGCATTAAGCAATAGTTGGTACACTAAATATCATAAGAGACCATTCAGTTCCAGCAAATATAGAAGGACTTCTGAAATATATGTAAAAATGCTTTTCCTTTCCAAACTTCGTAAGCAAATTAGCTTTCTAAAATAAGAATTGTAGTGGTGGATCTAGAATTTTCAAAAAAATGGAAGACGCTGTCATAGCAGGATCTGAGTGAACACTCTGAACATCTCATTACTGCAGAAAATAGCAATGATAATGTAGTTCGGTCCAGTTACTGATTGACTACTTTCTTGTCATCCTGACTACAAACTTTGATTCATTATTGACACTGTTAAGCGATGGTTTGTTTAATGTAATGTGTTCCCGTATATGCCAGCGCAACTATTCAAGATGTTGATCGAGCTATTCAACAAAAGAATGGATTTCCTGTTCCTGGTAGGAAAATCAGAGTTAAGCTAGAAATGAATCAGTGCTCCACTGAAGGAACGTTTGCAAAAGAAGGAGAATAGTGAGGCTCCTCTCCTAACAGTTTGTTGCTGCTGAAACTCAGTAGATTGTGGATCTGACTGTCATTTGTTTTATTTGTTTTATTTGCTTGTGAGCAGTGCAATGCAAGTGAAGGACTCCGATTTAAAAGATGAGGCAAATGAGACTTCTCCTGCTGGAAAGCATAAGGGGAAATCACATAAAACAGATCCAGGTTGTAATGTAAATTTCTTTGTTTTGTTTAATGTTTTGCCATGATTAGTATTTTCCAATACTGAAGCAAGATGTTATGTTGAACCAGAGCATTACATTTGTTGTCAAAGGATGCTATGGTATCAAAATTACATAAGAGAAATACTCCTATGCATGCTTCAGACACGTAGAATAAAGCAATGGTGAAACAAAAAATTAAACTAAAATGCATAAAATGGAAATATATTATAGGGTCAAGCGACAAAATTTTAAGCAATTGAGGTTTAGTTGCAACTTGCAAGTCAGAAAATAGATTACTTTTTAGAAACAGACAGTTGAAAGAGGTCAGAATACTTTTTGAAAACATACATGCATCACAGATTATATTAAGCAATCTTTATTTGGTCGTAATCAATCTTTATTAGACCCTACCAACACAAAAATAAATAATTGAGAAACTTTTAAGCAATTGAGGTTTAGTTGCAACTTGCAAGTCAGAAAAGTGTAGATTACTTTTTAGAAACATGTAGTTGAAAGAGAGGTCAGAATAATTTTTATAAACATACATCGCATATTATATTAATCAATCTTTATTAGATTGTAATCAATCTTTATTAGATCATATCAACACAAAATAAATAATTGTATACCTGCATTAATCAATCTTCTGATGTGTCAAGCAGAGAGCTGAAGGTGTCCACGACGGCATGTCGGCAGCTACAGGCGTAGAGGCGGCGCCGGCCGCTGGGGACCCGCAGATGAAGCTGCTAATCTTCTGATGTGTCAGGGAGGGAACTGAAGGTGTCCACGACGGTTGGTCGACAGCTACAGATGTGAAGGTGGCGCTGGCCGCGTTCATGGCACGTGCTGTATGCGGAGGCCCGGAAGGAGGAGGTGGACTTCCTGATCTTCCTGCTGCGCGTCCGTGACACCATGCCGAGGCCCGATATACGTAAGGTTTTATTTTAGGACTACAGGAAGAGGAGGATTACGTGAGGAAAAACCAATTTTGTTATTGATTCTTTAATATAGGACAAACGCGAAAAGCAATTCTGGGTGGTCTAGACTCGGGAGGGGCGACGTGGGTACGACGAGCAGGTTGGAGAACTATTTGGTGAAAAAAACTCGGCGAGGGAGGGGCGGAGTGGTTTTTACGTGGCAGGAACACGTAAGACGCCATCATAAGACCTTTTTTACATACATGGCCCACCATTAGATTAACATCTGCCGTTAGATTTGAAGATATGAATCATCCGAGGGTCCTCGAATAAGGTGGGTACTGAAACTTTTTCGGTGAGAGCTATTTTCAATTCCTTCGCTCTTTTATTTTATAGTATAGATATAGATTTATTTAGGAAAAAGTCTCACACCGCTTTTTCTCCTCCAACTTCAAAGCGGGCAAAACACCTTCCTTAACTTTTAAAATTGTTGATCTTACTCTCTACGATCTGTTATAAGCTGTTTTGAATGTGGTTTTGTCTTTTATTTTTTATTTATTTGGTTGAATTTTTAAAAATCATAGTAATCAATTTTATGATTTTTCTGTGATTTACTATGATTTTTTAAAGATTCAGCCGAAATAAATAAAAAAAAAAAGACAAAACCGCTTTCAAAACTGCTTATAACAGGGAAGGAGGTAAGATGAACGGTTTTAAAAGTTGATGGATGTGTTTTGCCCGGTTTTGGAGTTCGGGAAGAAAAAATAGACTTTCGTGAAAGTTGAGGAAGGTAACGTAGACTTTTTTCCTTTATTCATTTAGTTGGTACATCCTGCTCCATTAACTAACGCTATATTCCTCTCAAAAAAAAAAAACTAACGCTATATTCTTGATATACACGTTACAAGCCATGTCCATCTTTGATCACGTGAATTACACCTATCATAGTATGCGGATATTTATTCTACGTGTCTGAAACATGCATAGGAGTATTTCTCTTAATTTTCATAGCGGCACCAAAGGGTATAATATGTAATTAGGCACATGGGTATTTTATTAATCTTCTTATAGTGGCAATGGATAATGGTGGGCAATTCTGTAATTGGTATATCGTATTTTGTGCTAAGTTTTCTATAGTGATTGTGGTGGGTGATTTTGTTTGTTTTTCTCTGACTGATTTAACGTGATGGTTTCCAGGTATCGAAAGCAAATCTATGGACGTTTCTCTTATATTAGCCAAATACTTGATAATAGATGTTTGATATCTATCATTTTTAGCGAGTCTAGAGAACAGAAATGGAGATGTTTCAGATGATCTGAGTGGAGCAGAGGTGAGGACGTGCAGGATTTGCGCTAGCCCTCTGCTCCACTCTGTTTGTACGCAAGTGGAGTATGCAATGGCTCGAAGACTTTTTTTCCTTGAAGGTATATAATAAGGTACTAAATCCGTTACAAATTATAGTTCGTTTCTTATTCAAAAATTTATGCTAAATATCACTTTTTTATTGTGGCTTGTTTTATTAACAAAAGTTTTTCAAGAATGACTTAAATTTGACTACGTTTGTATAAATTTTTTTAAATAAGACGAGCGATCAAACTTAGAATAAAAAAGTCAAACGAATTATAATTTAGAATAGAGGGAGTATTCATCAAGACCGTGCTGTAGCTGTATTACATGTCGTGGGCTTTGATCCAATTCATCCTTGAACTAAAAGTGCTGTTAGTGGCGTCAGTCTATCGTAGCTGCAGTCGCAATCTGCCACGGCCATCGTTTACTGACGAGGCGAAGGCGTAAAGCGTCCTAGAGACCAGAACAAGAGTAAAGGTCTTTTTTTTATAACTTAGTGAAGGTGGGTTCATTGGTCGTACCGTAATGCTCCTATGGACCCACCTCGCGCCACAGTGCCTCTCGCCTTGCGTCGTGCGCCCTGCACCTCGCGCCTTGCACAGTCGTACCAGACCCGCCTCGCACCGTGCGCCCTTGCGCCTCCCACCTCGCACCGCGTGTGCCTCGTGCCATGCGCCCTTGCGCTACCCGCCTCGCGCCATGCGCCCCTGCACCTTGCCCTCGCACGGTCGCACCAGACCCGCCTCGCGCCGCGTGCGCCTTGCGCGTTCGCGCGTCGTGGCGCGCACATCCACTTGTGCCTCACACCATCCGCGCCTCGCGTTGCGCTCCCCGCTGCCGCGTCAACCTTCAGTGGGCGACAGCAAGTAAATGAGCACGTATTAAAACCGTATGTTTCATGTGTTTCGGATGTTTGTTGCATATGTTTCATTTGGATATTGCAAAAGTAGATATGGTGTTGCATATGTTACCATGGCTATATACGTGTGTTGCAAGTATATGTTTTAAGTGTTTCAGCCGTTTCAGACGTATGTTGCAAGCGTTTCATCTGGATGATGCATATCTTGCGGTGGCTATACACGTACGTTGCAAGTGTGTTTTCCAAATGTTTCAGCTGTTTCATCTAGATGTTGCATGTTTTAATCTGAATGTTATATATGTTGCAGTGGCTATACACGTATGTGCAAGTGTGTTTTTCAAATATTTCAGCTGTTTCATCTCGATGTTGCATGTTTTAATCTTGATGTTGCATATGTCGCAGTGGTTATACATGTATGTTACAAGTGTACGTTCCAAATGTTTGATCTATTTTTAGACGTACGTTACAAGTGTTTTGTCTAGATGTTGTTAAATATTGCATTGGTTATACATATATGTTGTAAACGCATGTTTTAATTGTTTCATCTGGTTTCGGTGTGTTGCAGTAGGTGTTGCTCCCCACGCGCTCTAACTTGCGGGCACGCACGCGTTGCACGCACCCCATC